AATATCATTTGAGTCAATAGAAAACACCCCGTCCTCTGTAATGGGCATGTGGCTCTTTTGACATTAAACCCTCATTGCTTCAAAAGTTCCAGTCTCAATCTTTGGTTCTTCTGATCCTTGAGAATATGGATGGAATGCTTGTAAGGTAAAATAGATTCCTCTTTAATCTCAATTAGTTCTTCTTCTGGTATATTTTGATTTATAGCATAGTCAGATGAGGTCTGGAGATCAGTTTGAAGGTTTGGAGAATTTGGAGTAAGGCTTCTGGCTCTTATTTCTGTAATAATCTCTTTCATTTTAGCGCATACTTCTTCAGTAGCTTCATAAATTTTTTCCACTATAAGTTTACAGTTTAGCTGTAAATAAGATTTCTCCATTTTAGTAGTAATTGAAGAGAATCCCTTTTATCATTTAGTGGAGGCTATATATAAACAATATCCACCCCCACAATTTCCCACAGCTGGATCAGCTTATCTTTTCTCTTCAAGAATAGTTTGAAGGTCAAGCCTACCTCATCTCCAAAGAAAAACAGATAATTGCAATATTAACTTTTCACCACAAGATGTCCTCAGTAGATTATGAAATCTTTCCCAGACGCCATTTTTTCCTTTTCTCTCTTTTTAAAGGAAAAGGTGGAAAAAAAATATTCTTCCAGTTTAAAGTGATAGTAAAGCTCTAAAAAAAATTTTTTTTGTACACCAAAGTAAATGAAAGTAAAATAAAATCATTGAAATTACTTGTTCTGTCTTTTTATTCAGGCGCCTTTCTTCCCACGCATACAAATGCCACTCTTTCAAGGCAGGGAATTAATTCCAACAGAGCTTTTACAGGCAAAGAATCAAGTAGGGTGAAGAGAGGAGAAGGAGAGGTCTCACCTGGATCATCCACGGTGGGTCTTTCACGCTTAGATGTACCTGTGACTTTTGGCTGGTGCAATTAAGGAATTGGCCATCTTGTAGGATGATCTTTGCTCCATTGGCCCTAAGGAGTTAGCTGGAGCTGCGGAAGAAGCTGCCGCCCTCCCGCACCAGCAAGCCTCCTCCTTGGTGGTCGCCCCTCCAGGGCCTTTTGACCCACAAGGGGTCTACTGGTGAAGAAAACACAGCCAGTGGAGAGATAAGTCTCTTCACACGACTGGAGTCACCGCGAACCAGAACCAGAAGTCTGGGACTCCCATTTTCTAAGCATATTCCACATTAACATGATTGACACAATTAACGTGACTGACACAATTAAAAATCTTTCTATATCAGTGAAGCACATACTGACTTATTTTTTGGTATTCTTTAGCTTTCCCAATTATCCAGCATGCATCAACAATAATGTCTCTTTTCCCATGAACTTTTCTGAAGCCAGCTTGAACAACTGGTATTTCTTTTTCAACATGGAGCTCTGAACTGTGTTGAATTATGCTAAACATTATTTTGCTAGTGTTGGAAGTAAAGTCTTCATCTTGGTTCATCCAAGCTGGGGATAAATAAACAACATGGTGATTGCTTTGGGAAGAAGGTTACAGTTTATTGAAGAGCCAGACTGAAAATGGTTCTGGCAGGAAGGAGGAGAGAAATCGAGAGCTGAGCACATGTGGAATAGTTTTTTATACGCTCTGAAAGCCTTTTGTTTGGAATAGTTTCCTGTTCCTGTGGCTTGAACTTTGAACTGAGTCTGAGTGTGCTTTTCTAGGCCTTGGTATCTGTGATTTAATCCTATTATGTCCCAAAAGTCATATTCTGCTTCCCTGGGGCTGGGCTAATGACTCTTAGAGTTTGGGTGAGGTATGCAGATTTTAGGTCTTTGTCTTCTTGAGTTTTCTGGCTCCAACTTTCTGATGGTTTTACATTTGCATTTTTATAGGGCTGGCTCCTGCTGGAAACAGAGATACTTGGGGGCAGGGTTGGTTTCTGTTTTTAAAAATCCTTTTGAGGAAATATATTTTTCTGCCCCTTTAATATTTCCTTCTCTGGGGCTCTGACTTCCCTCACTAGTATGTGAAAACAAGGATATTGCATAATACTTTTGCCCATTCTCTTAAATCTCCTCTCTTTTTTTGTTATTGGAATGTAGTTTGACCTCTTCCAATATGTTGGCTTCTGAGTCATTTTCCAGATTTACTGGCACACTGTAACTGGGCTTGAATTTTTACTGATTCTTCTTCTGTTGCTTGCTTATTTTCTGTGGACATTCCAACAATTATTGTAGCTTTCCAACTTGGTAATAACCAAAGAGCTGATCTAACATCTTTATCTTGCACTAGAGATTCTTGCAAATAGAGAATATCTTTAAGATATCTTTGATGTTGGCACCTCTACTGTACTCTATTTCAATATAGTCCTTCCATTTTTGTTTGATCTTCTTTGAATCAACTGTTATCTGTTCTTTAGCATACAAATTTGAGTTTGGAACTTCCGTCTAAGTTCAGAGATCTTTTGAAAGACTTTGCTTGTTTTTCTATATCTGTTTCTATCTTCAGTGTCTTTACAGATGTTATAATTCTGCTTCTTGTCTCTTCTCTGGTCTCTGAAACTCTGTTAAATTTCTTCCTGAGATTTTTATCTATCTTGGCTTTGGATTATTTTCTCATTTTAGCAACTTCCACAGATTATTTAGACATTCGATTTGCTTTCTTCTGTTTCTTTAACTTGGCAGCCTCTTTTCACATTCATCCTTAAAAAAAAATAATGGAAATTTTCTCTTAAGCCTCATGGAGGATTTAGATTAGCTTTACGGTGAACAGCTGAAAAATGAACAGGCTTTTTTCTCCAAATATGTGGATGAAACCTAGAAAAATCAATTGCAGTCAGACTTAGGTGAAAATCTTTAAGAACCTAATAGAAATGCTTAAAATCTCCCCAAATCACTCATTATTCAAAAAGTGAAGCATTTCAGCAAAAATTAAACTTATTTTAGGCATTCAGTAATAACTTTTTCTATCTGTGCATTTCTGACTAAGGATTGAAATTTGGATATGTTAAGATGCTCAATGTGTAATGTTATTAGAAAACTCATGTCTGATTGGAAATATATTTGCAGCTGTGTGTCCTCAAAGTTAAACAAATTTAATTGGATTTAATTGAATTGAGCATCAACAGCAACCAAATGAGTTACAGATTTTTGGACTGCATGTATGATTAATGGGCCAACAAATATTGTAGGAATTGTCACCTTAAACATTAAGATGCCATCAAATTGCCTCTGCCTGAAATTGAGGATTATACTTTATAAAAATGGGCCCTTGTCAGTCAACAGGAGTGCTGATTTACCACCAACTTATCAGGTATTTAGGAGCTGAGGAGGTGGCAGCACAAGGAAACAACTGCCAATCACTGGCCATCAACACACCAATCAACCAATAGGAAGGCACCAAATAAATGTGATGTATAGAATTGCCCAAAGCACACATTCCAGTAGAGAGAAGTTCCGCAAAGATGAGTTTCAGCATGAAGCTCGGAAGATTGGTCCTGGTAACCGACCCAAATTGGATTTTGAAACTTCATAAAAACATAATGTAGGAATATAAAAACAACTTTGCTAAATCAAGTCAAGGCCCATAGGCCAGTATTTTATTTCTCAAAATGGCCAATAAGATGATGGAGACATACTGGAGGTAATATTGATCTTCCATGAATTTGCCAAAATAAACCCTCCCCATTTAAACTTATAATATTAGAATATTATAGTAACCGACTCCACAGTTGCAGCATTATGACATTTGTTAAGCAGGTCACGTGCCCTTGCCCAATTTTACCAATGTGCAAAATGGCTTACAAGCCTGAAGAAATTGCTTGGACCAAGTTTATTCATCCATTCATCCACATAGTATAGCCTGTTGTTTCTCTGCATCATGGTTAAAAGGTCACCAGTTGAAATTTGGGAGACAACGCTGTACTCTTCCATCTGAACAGATTAAGGAATCGATGTGCCACTTGGAAAGCCATGGAAAGCAATATAGAGCTTCCTTTCTCAGCTGAGGTGCACTAGTAAGTGAGAACATTCTGTTGAGTTGTATTTGCATATAATGTAGCTGACGTATAAACTGGAGCAGGCATTTATTTACGCTTTACATGCAAGGTTTTGTTAGAAAAGGAATCCAGTCATTTTCAAGATCAACGCAGTCTGCAATAGATCCACTTGGGTTTATTGGAATTTCTTTCAGGCATGCATTGCAAGCAGCACTCCTGAGGTTCTGAATACAATCACTAGTTTTCCCTAAGATTAAAACTCTCCTTGCAGCTGCTCTTGCACCCAAAGCCTGTCAGAAATTTAAAAAGACTCCCAGTGTTTGGATCAAGGTATCAGCAAGCGCTCAGTCCCAGACTCATCAGTCAAATATGGTCAGGCACAGATCATAGTTCAGATCACCCCACAAGTAACATGTCATGATACAGTATGTGCACCATTAGGGGTTGAAACAGTATTGCTTGCAAAATATGCATTTCTTAAAATATTCTGTGGTACACTCACTGTTCAGAAGAAGCAAACCGAAAATGAAAGTAAAGTTTCATGCTGTGACATGAAACTAAAAATTAACCAAAACAAAAGTATATTTAAATATTTAAGCTATGAAATGCACTTTTAGATTCATATAGATATATGACACTCCCACTCATTCCCTTCTTTTGGCAAAGTTGCTGGTGGCGTTTCTCTGCAAAAGCTGAACAAGGACATATTCTTCATGAATCCCCATCACTTTGATACCTTTTGAGTCTTTGTGGAAAGAGTTTGAGGGTAGTCCTTTTTTCTCCCAATGTTTAAAAAGGGTTTTATTTCAAGAACTCTGTGAGTCGGACATCCCTGCAAATTTTGAGGTTTGGGCCATAGAGCAAGAGTGTGGTTCACCAGAAGAAGTTAGATTTCACATACTGTCCAAAGATGGGGATGGGGTGTGTTAGAAAAAGGAACAAGCCAAAACTATTACATTTTTCATGGCAACACAAAGATGTACATCTTTCTCTTACAAGAGAAGACAGCAGAAGGGAAAGGGGAAAAAAAGACAGCAGACATCACATTAGCTCAGGCTCAATATAGCAACAAGAGAGAGTCAACAATGTAATCAAACCCATGATGTTTAATAAGTATAGTTGGAAATAAAAAGAGACTTAGAGAATACAAATAACAGAGTTGGAAGAGACCTTGGAGATCTTCCACTCCGACCTACTATTTGAGCAGAAGACCCTATAACAAATGGCTCTCCAACCTCTTGTTAAAAACCTCCAGGGACGGAGTCCCACAATTTCCAGAGGCAAGCCTTTCCACTGATTCATTGTTCTCACTATCAGAAAATTTCTCCATAATTCTAGCTTGGATCCCTCCCTGATGATTTTCTGTTGGTTACTTCTTGTCCTGTTCCCAGATGCTTTGGAGAATAGGTCAACCCCTTTTTCTCTATGTCAGCCCCTCAGATATTGGCAGACAGCTATCATGACACTCCTAATCCTTTTCTTGGTTAGGCTAGGTGTGTCTAGCCCAGTTCCTTTAATTGATTGCCGTAGGACTTAGCCTCCAGATCCCTAATCATCTTTTACTTCATGATCAATGGATTGATGGACATTTGGGCAGATGGAAGCTATCAACTTGGCTGGCAAGGCCATTGGCCAAAGCACGCTTGATATCTTTCCCCTGGGCGCTCTTGAGTTTTTCTTTCTTAATATCCCAGGTACTCAGGGCAGAAACTTGCAGGGCACAATCATCCTGCAAGACATTCAAATTTCTGGAAGCATTTTCCTGACTTTGACCCCCAGACAAGAAGGGGACGCCAAAAGCAATTTCTTTAGGATTTGGTGGTGAAGGAGAATGTTCATAATACAGATAGTCATCAGGTTACGACTTCAGTTGAGACCAAATTGGGACCAATTGCCATTGTCTTTGTTAAGGGAAGAGGTGTAAAAAGTGATGTATGTCACTTGACTGCATCTCTGAGCCACAGCTGGTCCTGGTTGTTCCTGGTTGGGTTAAGAAGGGAGAAGAGGGAGTCCCAAAAAGAGGGACAGGTGTCTTTGAATTCACTGAAACAGATTAAAAACAAGTAGGTTAGAATGGAAATCATGTTAGTACAATCCTGTATTTGAAGATTGTATTTGAAGAAAAACCAGATCTTATTTTGAAACACAGATAAGAATTTCAATAAAAAATAACTAACACATTAAATTACACATCAAACAGCATTTTTGTCTAATTCAAACTAGCCAGTTGAAAGAGACAATAATTTAACTGATGAATAACTTTTCAGCAAAAATTAGTAGAATATTAGCAAAAATTTTAATTACATTTGCCTTTGCAACAATTCAACCCAGCACATCAAGAAAAACCATCTACGCTCTATTTGTAATGGCATAAGAAAGGGCATTCTGTCTAAAATCTCCTATTTCATGACTGAATGTTATAGCCTAATTTGAATCTGAAAATTTCAGAACAATTCATGGAAAAATTCAAACAAAAAAATAATTTCCCGAAAATATTGACCATATTTAGAATGAAACAAAAACATGTCAAATCACTTACCCTATCTCTGCTACAATCTGTGGTTGGGAATCCTCATGATCTTGAGTGCGATAGAGTCACCTATTTGCATTTGACCCCAAGCTACTGTAAAAGAATAACCATTGTGTTGCAAAATTGATTTGATTTTTACTACCAAATGTTGTATGATAACCTTTCTATGGAAAAAAAAAACATGTAATGTCTTAAAAACTGTATCATTTACCTTCTTGCCATAATCATCCATCTCCTTCTATTTGCTTCTTGAAGAGGCTGAAAATTGTTAAACAAATATTTTAGAAGGAGGTAGTCATCAATTGAAACATGTCTATTTCTCTCCCAGAAGCCGAAGGACAAAACTCACCGACACTCTTCTCTCCGAGTAGGGTACAGACAGCAGCTGGGAGCAGATGGCATCGATTGCCTGGTCCCGAGCTCTCATGAGGTTTCTTCTCCTCTCCCTCTCTCTTGAGACCTCCTGTTAAAAGAAATTGAGCAAGTACAATTAGTACATTATAAAATCTGGCTTACAGAAGTTGTTCTAATTTCTTACTATCATGTAAGATACTTACAGCGGTGAGTCGGCTGATTGCCTTCTGCTCCTTTTCCAATTTGTTCTTCAGTATTGCAACTTGCAACTCTTTTCTGTCAGCCTCTCCTGGCAAAAAAAGTAACAAAAGAATTAGAACTCGTACAGCCAAGATGAATAAATCGCTTTTGTTTTTAAAATGAAAACAATTAAAATGTTGTTAAATTAAAATAAGACTCACTTTCTGGATTGAGATTTATTAAGTGCTTCAGTTCCTCATTCTGCTTCAGAAGCTGGGCCAGTTCGCTGGCTAAGCGCTCGTTCTCCTCTTCCAACTAAGATGCAGAAATTAAAGGAAGCATGCATCAGTCATCGAATATAGATACGCAGACAAAAAGAGGGGGCTTAAATCAGGATTGTAAGGGAAATGAATGACTTACAGCTCTTATAGTGGCATCTTTTTCTGCCAGCTCCTTCTCCTGTGAGGATGTCACCTCTTCTATCTGCTTCTGTTCTGTATTTTTATGGAAAAACACTTGTGCTGTTAAACAATAATCCCAAAAGACATTATGTATTAATCCACAAATAAGACTGAAATTTAAGACTGGTCATTAAATAGGAAAGGTCAGGTGTGGTGCAGAGGGAGGGTTGCCTTTGTATCCCCACTCCTGCCACAGGTTCTCACACAAACAAAAAGTTGGTTACTCACTTTGTTCTCTTTGGTGGTCTCTGTATTTCTGCAGACAGACCTACCAAAAGAAGATATTTTGAACACCTGAGGACAAACCAACTGGAGGAAGTGAATTTACTAAGTATTATAAATCATAGTGTGGATACAATCGTAGTAGCTGCAGTCATATCCAGTTACAATGCACGTTGGCTGCATGCTGACTGTTTGTTCTAAAGCACTTTGCCAGTAGTTCTGGCAAAAATGCTTTGACCCAAAAGCCACATTTTGAAAAGCAAGGTTACTAAATCAATCTATTATTAGTCTTACATTGTAGTATCGTTTACTAGTTTTCAGTGGAATTTATATATGCCTCCTCTAAGCAAAATATTAATACTTGTAGTTGAGACAAAATTTAGATCTTTAAAAATAATATCAACGTTGCATATAATCCATAGAATTCTTCTATGATAACTCAAAACTGAGATCTGGAAGGCATTATATTAAAATTAATATTTGCATTCTAAATACGTATACATTTTTGGAAATGTTGCTGCTTGGGAATAATCATAGCACGGGTCAACAAAACCCGATTGGATTAGCGAAAAGGCTTCATTTTTACCTGCCCTGCTTCTGCAGCCAGTAGAACATATTAGATTGTTTTCTGTAAAGTTTAATCAGGCTAATAGTATAGGAGCTAAAACTGAATTTGCTTGGGATTTTAATTATTTCTTTGTTCATTTACAGGCATGTCTCTATTGAAGTCAGTGTGAGAGAAAAATAGCTTATTTCCACAGGCGACACAATTTGGCAGATTGAACCCATTTTTGTTTCTAACTCTCTAAACAATGGATTTAAAAAAAGTATTTCAAGACATAATCCTGGAATTTGTTTTCAATTTGCAATACTGCATCAGGTAAACATGGTGGGGCCCACATGTCAAGGGATCAATGTTCTGGGATTAGGTTTTCCAAGAAGCTGATCATCTTTGCTAATTTGCTTTACCATTTCCATAAGTCAAACTGACTAAAAATCACTCCTCATTTATGTTGAACAAAATGTTTCAAGCATTGTCTCATAACCTTTCTTTTTATCTCATAATTATGAGATAAAAAATTATCTCATAATTAGAGCTCAGTGTTTTTCAAATGTGGCCACCTGGAGATGTGCAGACTTCCACGGCCAGAATTCATGCTGGTGAGAGAATTCTGGGAATTAAAATCCACACATCTTCAAGTGTCAAAATTGAGAAACACTGCTCTGGTTAGTTTAGACCAGGGGGGGAGGTGCGGGAGAAAGTGAGACCCCCTAGTGACTACATGCATGTTTTCATTAATTTTTGTGGCAGCACATATCAATGCTTGGCCAATGTTGTGCTTCAGATTTTTTTTCTTTTTTGAAAAAAATAGAAAAGAAAAAATGAATTTATGGGAAATTATACTTCCAAGGCTTTTTCTTCAGATGGTCTTTTGCTATTGGAGTCAAAGAAAGTCAACTCAGTCTGGAAAGAAGGGATCTTAGACTCAGAAGGCTAACTGGGTTTTTTTTTTAAATATACATACGGTAGAACTTCCCACTTACGGAAAAAAAATTAACAAGAACAAAAGTTCCGTTGGATCCCATATGCTAATCTTATTTCGAGAGTTGGAATGATTCAAATCAGCTAGCTCATCCTCATGCCCCTCTAACCACAGCATGAAGACCCTCACTAACCATTGTTAAGTAACAACCCTCATGGCATCACCTGAATTTCATCTCTAGCCAACTGCAGGGACAGCTAAAGCTGTCCTTTAGTTGCTCTGCAGTTAAAGTGATGTTTTAATGGCCCTCTTCTTCCAATATAAACCTGGCTGTACAAATAATTGACAGTGCTGATGACAATATGGTCAGAAGCTAGGATCTTCCCATCTCTAGTTTAGTGTAGGGTGACTCTGGGCCTCGGGACTACTAGTTGTATGGATTTTAGGCAGCTGTTTGTAAATTGTCAAGAATTGCTATGGAGTCAACAGTATAAAAATACTATTAAATCAGTCAGCCTGGGCCAGCTTCTCTCCATCTTTCCTCTGACACAGTTCTGGGCTGATTATCAGTGAAGACATTGCTACATGTACTGTTCTGGTTCCACTGTTGTGTATAGTGAGGGAGCGGTCAGTGATATAAGCAAGTGGGTTGATTGTTATGGGAACAGGTATTTTGGGAAGGGGACCATATCCATGCATTGCAGCAGTTGTCTCCATCTGTCACAGCTAAAAACAATAGGAAGGGGTGGGGGCTCTCTCCCCTCCCTCGTTACACCTGGTGAATTGAAATAGGGATCAATGTCACTCTGAACCTTTCCCAGTGCTAAAAAGGGACAAGGGATAGGGTTAGGGTTAGAGTTAACCAGGACTAATGGCCAATGCAGTTTAGCATGCAGGAGACTAGAACGCACACAATTTATTTGTTTATTTATCATATTTAAGAACTGCCCATCTCCCTCAGTCTAGGTACTATACAAATGCAATATTAAAAATATGAGCATCGTATATAAAATTTAAAAGAGGCGAGCAATGTTAAAATTAATTAGAAAGAGGGATTTTTATTATTATTATTTATGTTATGCTACATGTCATGCTACCTCTTTGAATCTTGAACTCATCCTAGAGTTACGCAGTTGACAAGTAAATAAATAAATAAACAAAAAAGAGGACCTTACCTCAAACAGGAGTTTCCCTGCATAGTATAAGAATGTCTCCATCCTTAATGCCCTAAACTAAACTAATCCTAAATTAAATAAATATATTAAATATAATAGATAAATAAATAAATAAATAAATAGGTAAATAAATAGATAAATAAATTGATAAATAGGTAAATAGATAAATAAATTGATAAATAAATAGATAAATAAACAGATAAATAAATATAAATAAACAAATGTGATATTAAATAAGATAAATAATGCCTTAATGCCCTAAACTAAACTAATCCTAAACTAAATAAATATATTAAATATAATAAAGATAAATAGATATACAAATAGGTAAATAGATAAATAAATAGATAAATAGGCAAATAGATAAATAGATAGATAAATAGGTAAATAAATAAATAAATATAAATAAATAAACAAATGTGATAAATAAACAAAGATAAATAAGCAACAAAATAAATACTGAAAAAGAAACAAAAGCTAAGCTATTAAAATGCTGTGAAATGAAAGCAAAACCTGACTACGCCACCACTACTCAAAACCCACAAGAGCTTTCATTCAGCCCACCAGAAGTTTTATTTACTTCTCCTTTGTGAGCTCATCTACCTGTCGCCACCATTATCAAGCATGACCTCACAAAGGAAAAGCAAAGCAAACTGATGGGCTGAATGGATGCTACTCAGAGATTTATTCCTTTTTGTAATATTTCAGTATTTTTCAATATTGGGAAAAATGTAATTACAAAATCCCGTTGATGCGTTTGGTGGAATCAGAGGCTGAAGTAAGAAAAAAAAAACACCTTAGAAAAATTAGTGCCACTGAAGAAAGCAGGGAGATTGTTGGAGAAATATGCACAATTTAAACTGAAAAAGTGGTGCAGAGGTGAGAGACCAGAATTGGAGATATTCTTGCTCTTGCAAAAAGCAACTTTCCCTTTCTCCAACCCCCCTTTTCTCTAGCTAGTAATTGTTACTTTTGTATTTTAGCCCTACTTTGGACATTATTATATTTCTTTGGATCATATTAATTGTTATTATTAGTAGTAAAACAAGTTCCCCTGTATGCTTTTCCATTCGGTATAGAGTCAGTAATTGAAATATGAGAATAAAGAATATTTTCCCCAAACTTCTGCCATTACAGCTTGACATAGCAGCAGCTTTCCTCTCTCTCACCCACTTCCAGACCAATTCAGGGCTACAAAAAAATGATACGAAAATGTCAAATATAACACAGCAATTAAGTTCACAGCATATTGTCAACAATAACATCAGTGGGACTTCTTGATTTTGGTTTAGTTTTTTACTTCCTAATAGTCATCTCCCATAATTCTCTGGTTTCCAGAGTACAAGGTATCAGTCGGTTTCTCCTCAACTTTGAGGATGCAAAGACGTCAGAGAAGTCTGTCACATCAAGTTGCAAATGTGCATGTGTAAAATTTCCCAGGCCTAACAAATATAATCCTCAGGCACCTGCTAGCCATCGTAATCACTGGTAAGAGATGGGCGTGTCCATCGAGGGAGACACTGCTGGCATTCCTGGGCTCTCAACTTCACCCCACGTTTCTGCCATGTTTTACCAGGAGCCTCAGTGATTTACCTATCCTTCACCTACACTTGGATGTGGCCCTTCGGTCATGGCTGGTGCTGCCTCGTGGTACTGGCAGTCTTCGGGAGGGATGGGGGTTTTCAGCATGTGTGGAAAAGTGGGACCATGGCAGATATGGAATTTGGCACTTTGAAATATGATGTCATTGTGATCGGGGGCCTTGGGTGACACTGCAGAAAGAGCCACTCATCTTTCTCTGTGGTGCAAAGCCAATTTGCCCTCCTACAATGCAACTTGGGAAGCGCACAAGCATTTCCTATAACAGGGCTTGTATCTTGGCAAAGAAAACTACTACTCTGCAATAGCATTGTGGTTTCCTGGCTACTGTAACAATGCCATATGATAACAACAACAACAACCAAAACTAAACCTTTCTAAGGGGATAGCCTACTGCACATCCTTCTGATTAGCTACAGTGCCTGGGACACACCTCCTTCCCCCCACCAGCTGGACACTTCCCTGGCAGCCATGTTATCCTAAGCTCCTGTGTTTTGCTCTTGTGTTTTGCGTTGGTCAGCAGCTGCCATTTTTTATTATCTTATGCATATAAATCTTGTGGTGGGATAATGATGGCCCATTAGACCAATGAACCTACATCAACCAATGTTTTATCACCTGCTCCAGAAGTTCAACCCGTACTTTTCCCTGGGGCCACCTTTTTAATTTCTCCTCAGGCTGTATGAAGCATGCTCCTATTGGTGTTCCTGATAAAGAATTATCTTTATGAGCATTTTGTAACTTGGTTTAAACATAATTTATTCAGAATAAAATTTGGGTTAAGATTGTGTAATATATTTCTTGGGTTTTTAAAATTATTTTTGTGACTGTTTTTAATATCTCTTGTTGCATGGGGTAATTTTTAAGTTTTACTCATATGCTATTAGTACTTTGCAAGAGTGAATCCAGCAATTGTGATTTATTTAACAGATTGCAGTAAAATGTGAACTGCATTGGGTGCCAGTTTGTTTTCCAGTCCAATTCAATGTGTTGGTTATCACCTTTAAAATCCTTCATGGCCTGGGATCAGTTTACATAAGGAAGTGCCTTGTCCTAGCGCGTCGCACCCAGTTAGGCGGAAAGGGTATGTTACAGACCCTGTCAGTTAAAGAATTTCTACTGGAGGGATCTAAGAAGAGAGCATTCTCTGCCATTGCCCCCTGGATCATCTTGCCTCCAGAGGTGATGTTGGCCCCCACTCTCCTGGCCTTCCAAAGAGCTTGAACAGCTGGCTCTGCCAATTCATGTGGAGATCAAAGAGCAGCATGCCACTTTGGGAGGGCCTGGTGTAAGCCTTAGAGAAAGTCCTTCCTCCTCATTCAGTTTTCATTCTGTTTCAATTCTTATCTTTTATTGC